ACATGATGATAGATAATTTGATTTTTTAATAAATGTTAATATTTTACTATATTCATTATTATGACAATTATTTATAATTAATTCTAAAACATTATCTGTTCGTTGATTTATTTGTAAACATTTCTCATTAACATCACTACAAAAAAAAAAGCAAATTATCTTTTTTTTTTTCTTTTAAATTAAATTTTATACCAATTTGTAAATATTCCAATACGATAATATGATGAATTTATTGATTGAAGACAATGCAATCGTTGATTATATTCATTTTGTTGAATATTAATTAATTCAATATCAGTATTTCTTATAAACATTTGTATTGTACGATTAAGAGAATACCATTCATATTGTTGAAATTCATCTGGATATATACAAGATATATTTGATTCATTCATCATATATCGGTCTTAAGTAACATAAAACAAATAATTAATTAATTATTTTCAAAAAAAAACTGCTAATACAATCGTTGTGAGATTAAAATGTCAAACACGATGGAGCTGTTCTTGCTAATTACCGGAAGATTATCTATTCTAGGACACATTTTCTTATCATCCTTTTAATTAATACTCCAGAAACACACTAAGGAAGTAGCTAATATACTATAACGAGACGCTATTGATGTACAGTCTTTGATCGCATATGGTTAACGGCTGTCATAGGTAAAGCCAATCGGTTCAAAAATTTTTGGGACCCGATCGAATTGTACTTTGATATTCTCAATGAAATTTTCTAATCCTAATTGAATAGTCACCCCGAAGATACGAGATAGGTTTTTCCATTTGGCGACTAGTGCATCCTACACATTTCTTAGACGACTAGAGTCCATTGGGTACAAAATTTTCAGACCTGATCCGAACCTTGGACCAATCCGATGCATTCTAGTCACAGGAAGTGTTGCTAATATGTCTGCTACGTCTTTGATGAGTTGTTTCTAATGTGTCTATGACTTTTCCATGGTAATCTCTGTGATTGTCTGTAAAGGAAGGGATACAAATTTCTATCCTATATAATTCAACACTCCTTTTAGATTGTGTTGCATAAAAAAAAAAAGTAACTTACTTATTGACGATAATGTCATTACTGTTGCCATATGTCGAGAATTTAGATCACGACATGACCCATCAGTTGCCATACTTAATGAAAATGATGATGAGATATCTTTTTCTTTAGTTGTATAATACTAAAGACGATTAAAATATTCAAAAATAAAGAAAAAATTACTAAGATTTAAATTATTTAACTTACAAAACATTCATATGGATTATCATTATGATGGTATTGTTTGGAAAGAATACGAGTAACAAAATATGTATGAAAACCTTCAATCCATGTTGCAACACATAATAAATGCAGATCAAGTGTTTGATAATAAGGTGAACATGGTGAAAGATGTAAACGAAATTGATAATCATTTATACATTCACCAATATATGATGATGATAATGACCGATGACATGTTGAACCATCTTTGATTAATTTTAACAATAAAAATGGTGGTTGAATAGGACATAATTGAGGCTTAGAATTGTCTAAATTGTTTTTTTTTATAAAACAAAAACAAATAAGCATAACAAATAAGCATATTGTCAAATAAAAATAGAAATGCAAATAACATCTTTTATTCTTCGTTTCTTTTTGTTTTTTCTTTGTTATGCATATGAATCTTTTAACCTCATCATCTTATGTATTGTATGTTAAAACAACAATAATCACAAGCATAAGAATAATAATAATATCAACAATACTCACTTCGATGAAGTGTATACAATGGAGCATCGGGTGCAATCATATTCGGACATAAAGTTATATTCGATAGATCATCCGCATCATTACATTCACCTAAATGAAAAGTCAAAAGAAAAATCTGTTGTATAATATTTTCTTAAGAAATAAGAAACATTACTTTCACGATATTGAAGTAAATTGGTATCTCGTTCAATAAATAAAAGACATCGTGTACAACGATTTATACTATTAATAAATAAAGAAAAAATATATATATATATATATGTGTTAAAGATATTATTATGCTTCATTGCTGATGGCGAACCTTATTTTCTGCTATATTGATTCTATCTAAGCACGTACATATATAAATATGACGTAATATATTAGATATTTAGTTTTCTTTTCCGTCTGTGCTAACTCATTCAACAAAAAGAATCCACAAGAGACACATGTGTAACATTTGCTTGAGCTTTTACACCTTTTTACTAAGCTAAAAAGCTTTTTAATTAATTTTTCTTTTCACTCCTATATGTCAAAACTATGTTGAGCACGTGCAATAGACATGATGATAGACATATATATATATATATATATATATATACACTGCATAATTAAGTATAAACAAACTCTAAACATTGATGATGATGATGATGACAAGTGATTTATACATACCGCTCAGTAAAAAGGTAATACTGTTGTATAGGAAGCACATCTATGCAACGTCCTTTTGTCTGGATATAATCGATTGTTATCTCTAATAGTGAAGTCATTCCACGTTGATACCATAAGCCAAGCCATGCCGTAGGCATATTGCACAACGAGCAAGCTAGAGACAAAAAAAAAAGAATTTTGAAGGTTATAACTAAATTACAACTGATTGTATATATATATATTTTCTATACGAAGCGTTCAATGTCGATACCACGCCCTTCAATCATTTCTCGTTATTCTATCATATTTGATGAAAAAAAAATCATTCATATGAATATTTAAACTTTGATTAATGTAGAATTTCTTACTAGGTCATCATTTCTTTTCATATATTAATGAGACACTATACAAAGCGTAAACGAATGAAGACGTAATCTTTTACAAAAAAAAATTCAATAAGTTTTTTTTTCGTCCCTTAGGTATTAAATCAATGAGGAAAACTATATATATATATATATATACATAAAATAGTTTTTCTTAAATATATACATTGTCGTTTAAGTCCATCATAATTACGTCATCGAACAGAAAGATCCATCAACAATGAAATGAATAAACACATCGATGTACATATACTTAGAATCATCATCAATCGTCATTCCCTGTCTTTAGATTAGATAGTTTCTTCTGGGCGAATGCATTATAATAGCTACACTTCAGGATATGGAATTTTTTCTCATCATATAACAACACTTGAAAAAAGCCAAAATAATCCATATAGCTACTATAAATGTTTCAATCGATCATCAATAGAAGACTCAAGGCTGACAATAGTTATAATCAAAAAGACAAGCGAACTTTTCTCATACTTAAGAGGCTTCTCTTTTTTCTTTCTCTCTCCATCACATACATTCATTCACTCTATAACATCTGCTCAATTCTAATCATTACTTAAATAAGAAACAAAATGACGTAGAATAATAACGAATTAAATTCATTTGTTGAATTTTAATGTTCATCATATGAGCTTCTCAATTTAATTATTGATGATGAATTGAATACGTTGTATTATGACTGAAGATGAACAAGTAGGTGGGATTTAAAAAAAAAATAAGAAGAAAAAATGTTCAGGACAGATGGACAACAGTTCACATACATTCAAATATAAATGACAGTCACGTAGAACGGTGTATTGTCTAAATAAATCCAATTGACGAACAAAACGCATGCACATATCATTGTTCATTCTTCATCTTCATTCTATCGACAGCTGTCGTGTGCGCATAAACGTATGTTCATTCGATCTATCTATCAGTCTAAACAATCATCTATCTATTTTGACAAATCGTTCACACTTCTGTCATTTAAACGATCATTAAAATTGTTATTATTGAACATTGAATAGTGATTATAGAACACACACAAAAAAAAAGAAAAACCAATATAAATATTACCTGACTTGATTTGTAAAAATAAAATAATATTTAAAAGAAATAATCGACGAATCCCATTCATCCGTGTGCCATTCTATGATCCTAATGTTTAATATATCTTTTTTTTTTTTCTAGGGTTTTCTTTCTCGTTGTACAACTAAGTAGAACAAATCTATATTTATAAGAAAATGAATAATGACTAAAAGCATACAGAGAGAACGACACGTCTTCCGCCTTCTTCTACTATACAACAACGACGACGACAAAGACACACATATACAATCTTTATTTCTTTTCTACATTGGGACGACGAGAACGAAAGAGAGAGAGAGAGAGAGAGACAGAGAGAAACAGTAGAGAGAGTGATGATCGCCATCGTAATAAACGACAGAGAGAAAGACATGGACAAGAAGAAGAAAAAAAAAAGAACAAAGTGGCACGCGAATCACTCATATATAAAAGCATGTTGATGAAGATGGAGCCGACAAACAACTGTCCGAACGACGAACAAATGACCCCATCATCGAGAGACCTTTTTTTCTTTTTTTTTTTTTTTTTTTTTCATTTCAATATATTCAATGTTATTCTTCTAGTCACGTCCGTCTTTTTTATTACATGTCTGAAAGTATCTCACACCTTTCTACACATACAACAAAAAGAAAAAAAGGTTGATGATGATCAACTTACTCATAGCTTAAAAGATCGAATCTATACACTTATTTGAATTATTCAAGTGAAAATAAGAAGAAATATGAAGTACACTTTACACCTTATGTACACATATTAACAATCAACAATTTGTGTTTTTTTGTTTCTTCTATTGTTTAATGTATATATACAAATGTATGATAAATGAATGAAACAATCAGCAGATGGATAATGGCGATCTATCATTCACTTACCATATTTTAAGTGTCTGATTATTAGCCATATTTGTCTTAAGAATATAGTAGAATATCAAAAAGTCTAAAAACCAAAGACGAATTATATGATATTTAATGTGAAGTTTTTCACTATATTTAAAAAATTGAAAAGAAATGATTTTTCTGAATTACCATATGGAAAATGAAGATGAATACAATAAAAAAAAAAAAAAAAAAAGAAAGTAACAATTAAGAAATTCTTAGTTCATTCGATTTTTGTTCAGTCTTAATTTTCAGGATTATCTGTCATGCATGAATGATGTTAGTTGTCTTTAGCTGTTTCATTTTTTGCTACTTCAGCATGAGAATTGTTGGTCTTCTTCGAAACTGGTAGCTGACTAGGATCATCATTTGTTTTTATTTGTTTATTGTGATGTTGGTCCATTGTTTCTTCAACTGATTTTTGTTCAGAATGATCCTTTGTTGTTGATTTTTCTTCTTCTTGAGTAACACTTGTCATATCTTGACTAAAATTATAAAAGAAAAAAACTAAAATTGTTCGTTTTACAATCAAATGAGGATATGGTTTATAATATTTTCTTTTTTAAAATGAAATTACATGAACACAAAGCGGTGAGAGAACATATAAAAAGTAAACTCGGCCTACGAGAATTTTTCTTGGTCAACTCAATTGAATCGTTTATCAATGGAAAGAATATGTTGAGACCAAAATTTTTGGTATTATTAGCTTCATGAGTTTATGGTTGGATGTTGAAAACTAAAAACTATCAATAGTGATGTATTATTAGTTATTATTCTAATAGCTCTTTGTATCATGATGAATTTATTTTGAGAATAATCAGACAAATAAAATACTAGGGAAATTATGAATCTGACAGTGCTTTGATGATTCTTCAGTCCTAGGTATAAATCACTAATTGATTGTTTTTGTGTAACGCGATATAAATTCGATGTACTAGTAGATACTATTATCTTATTCACTGTATTTATGAATGTATCATATCTTTCAACAAATATTTTAAGTTAAAAATTAGAATGATCAAAACTCTGGTATTGCTTATTTGATAACCCTTTTGAAAAACTACAAAATCATATATTTCCCAAAGTCAAAAGAATTCCTTTCACTTAAAATATTTCAAAGTATACTCTTTTCCAGGCGCAGTTTTATGGCTTTTTAATCAGTATTTAGAAGATTTCAATAAGAGAAAGTTGAATTTGAGTCAAAATTTCTATGACATTCTGAATCAACATAAAAAAGTTCAGTTGGTTCATGTACGATTTAAAGAATTTCTGAAACTTTTGTTTGTCGTCGGAAAATTTGCCCCTGATCCCCGTCAAGGACCCAACGAAAAATAAGTTACAGCAAACCACCCTTTGACCATTATAAAGAAACTGCGAAAGTTATTAAATGTCAAAATGGTGGATATCTCGAAAATATAAAATACAGTTTTCATTGAATTCATCTTTCGTCCTGTCTTTGAGAGTCATTAAGAGTGAATTTTTCGATGAAGAAACAAAGTTTCAGAAATTCTTTAAATCGTACATGGGACAACTGAATTTTTTTATGTTGATTTCGAGTATCAAATTAATTTTGACTCAAATTAAACTTTTTCTGATCGAAATCTTCTAAATATTGATTAAAAAAGACATAAAATTACACCTGAAAAGGAGTATGCTTAAGAATATTTTAAATAGAAAAATATTTGTTGAAAAAGATAAGACTCTTTCATACATACAGTGAATATGATAATAGTGTCTACTAGTACATCGAACTTATATCTTGTTACAGTAAACAATCAATTGGTGATTTATATATGAGACTAAAGAATCACTAAAGACCTATAGAATTCATAATTTCAGTAGTATTTTGTCTTGTCTGATTATTGTCAAAGTGAATTCACTACGATAGGATGGATTATTAGAATAATGACTAAAAATGCATTACTTTGTTCATAGTTTTTAGTTTTTAAAATCTGATCGTAACCTCATGAAACTAGTACCAATATGTTGGTCTCAACATATTCTTTCCATTGATATATAATTCAATTGAGTTGACCAAGAAATAATCCTAGCGGGCCAAGTTGACCTTTTATGCACTCGCTGTCCTTTCTTTAGTCGCCAAAGTTATTACGAATGGTATATGCAAAAGAAAATATTTGAAAAGTCTAAGAAAGAAGATTCTAACTATTCTATAGTTTTCACTACATACGTTTGTTGATTGTGTAATGGATGCTTTTCATTTGATGAATTGTCATCTTCTTCCATGTCTGCAGTTTTTTGAGTATCAGATGTATCACTAGGAACAGACGGTAGTCTGTCGAGTAAAGATTTAGTATTATCTTCTGGTGTTTTATCATGTGTTGAAAAATCTCTGACAGGTGGATTGAATGTTGTTGGTGATCGTGGTTGATCATCATTTTTATTTAGATTTTTCTTAGTTTCAATTTGATCATTATCATTCGATGATGTTAATGGATTTTTTGTTTTTATGTTTTCAATATCAAAAGAAGTGAATTCTAATTCTTCAGCTTTTCGTACCCATGCATCATAAATATCATCGTCCCAGAGGACAAATACAACTACAGGTACTATACCAGCTTCTTGATCAACTGTTCGAAGTGCAACATCAGCACCCTGATTTGCTGGCTATGAAATATAACATTATTAATAATCATATAAGAATAAATTATACTTACATAGCCAAATATACCACAACTAATAGCAGTAAAACCAATTGATTCAAGATCATACAAATTTGCTAAAGCAAGTGATGTTTGGTAACATGAAAACAATTCTTTGGCACATTCTTCTTTTCTGTATCGATCGTATACAGGACCAGCAGTATTAATAATATAATGAGTTGTTGATGACATATTATAGCTAAGTAAAATACGAGAATGACCAGTTGGTAAACGAACACCTTGAGTGATTTTTTTATGAGCTACACATGCTGTATAAAGTTCAGGTCCAGCAGCTCGATGAATAATTCCATCAACACCTCCACCACCTGTCATATGTTCATTAGCAGCTATTATAAATAAATGAAAATCAAAATAATTCGTCAGAGTATTACTAACAAACCATTGACAATAGCATCGACTTTTGTTCTTGTAATATCACCTTGTAGGATAATCAATATTGATTTTTTTTTATTGATAAAATAGTAACGAGGATATCGACGTTTTGAACTTTTTCCATAACCATACCTTTCCATTAATTCATCTCGATTGCTAAATTCAAAATAAGATTTTTATTGATACACTTTTTTTTATTTTGTATGTTTCTTTTTTTGTTTTAACATACTTATGTAAATATTTTATAATGTCGAAATTTTCTTCTGATGAACGATCTTGTTGACTAATAGCTGGTTTTTGACTATCTTGTCTATTAAACCTAGAAGAAAAAATTAAATTTTTTTTTAGATTTTTTTGTTAACGATAAATTCTTACGATAGAAAAGATAAGCCAGAGAATATATAACGTACAATAGGTGTGAAAAAAGATCGAAGGATATTGAAAATATTAAGTCTGGAAAGTAGGACAAGGAAAGAAAAAAACCTGAAATTCAGATAAGACTCATAAATAGAAGCAGTTCATTATTATTTTATTATTAATTTGCAGATATTCGTCGTTTTTTGTTATTCTATTGAAATCCTTTATTAATAAAGAATCTACAAAAATTGTTTGTGAATTACCAAGAATACTTATTAACTTTGCTATTGAATTTTTTGAACAGACAATAAATCATGTTTACCTATTGTCTTGTTGTTGCGATGAATCTGATGGTTTGTTTTGTTTTTCTCTCGATGACATTTCAGATAGAGTTTTTGGTTTTTTATAAATCTATAATTATAAATACTAAAGAATTTTACGTGAATAAAAAACAAACTAATAAGCAAGAATTATCATTAGAATACTGTAAATAAACATGTCATGTTAAAAAAAAAACATATGAACGTTTTGCTCATATTAATTTCGACTATTCTTGGATTTCTACAATTTCATAGAAATATGTTGACGAATTTGTTCCATCAAACTATTACAATTCACAATAAGTTAAATTTCACTCATTTCATTTTTCTTTACTCATGATCTAAAATTTTCTAATTTGTCGTGTAGTGAAACAGATTAATCTGAAGAAAAATTAAATATTAAAACATAACTGGTATAGTATTACTATCGAAAAAAAAACCTATTGACATCAACATTGGTTTCATTTAATAGAACGCATATTTCAAAACTAAAAAGAATGTATTCTGCTTGAAATAACCTTCATTTTTAACTTCAATGCGTGATCAAGCATTACGCATGACAATCGGAAATTTAAGATAAATATGAAAATAATTACATTATTACAACTTGATTTAGTATTTAATTTAAATAATTAACAGTATATGACTATAAATAAAATATATAAAATTCGTCCTTAATAATACCATATGATCAATTACTATCTAACAAATAGTAATTATTTTCATATAAGTCCAAATTTTCAAGACAATAAAATTATTCTAATGTGTGTTAGTCGATGTTTTTAGGAATAGTCTTCTACTAATTTAATAAATATAAATTTAGATTATATTATCTTACATAAATAAAGTTAAAGTATAGCTAATTGAATATTATGAGTAATTTCCCTTATGTACACAAACAGAAAACTACACAAAATTTTTATGTTAAGTTAATTATCATCTCGTATCAAATATAATAGATAAATTTATTTGATTATAATATACTTAAAAGAAAAATTTGATATATTAGACTAAAAAATTTATTCAATATCGATTAAATTTGATAAAATTTTAAACCAATAACAATCTCTAGTGAAGTAAACTCTTCCAAGAAAATTCTGTTTACCTTTTCCTAGAAAAAAGTGAACAATGTAAAGTGTTTTATTTTCAATGAAGTAAATAAAGGAAATAAAAACCTTCAGCAAATGCAAATAGATGCAGAAAAGAATGGTAGTTCGGAAGAACGAACAGATAAAAATTTTATTGGTACCTATTGAAATTGATGATAGATGTCGAGAAGTATCGAGAAAAATCATTTATTTTCAAATGAATATATTCTTAGATTCTTGAGAAAACTTGAATAAGTATAGATCAAACCAACTCATCGAGTAATTGCTGATAGATTATGATCTACTTTTTTCAACCGATCAATGTAATCCTTAATAGAGCAGCCAACAGGCCACTTTTTTCGGTCTGGTCTGGAAGACAAACAGACGAGCTTAAAATTAGATTGTCGATCTGTGATCTACCCTGCCTGTAGACATATGCTAAACCAAAATAGTTCAATTGATTGAACTATTTAACTCATGTTCTATTCATCTGAAAAGGAGTTAAACTGTATTTATAACTATTGTCTGTTTAAAAAAAATAATAGTCGTGTGCCATTTTTGCAATAACTTAAAGAAGGAAAGAGCTAGAGAGCTGTGGTTTTCACCAGTCGAAAGAGACGATACTAAGGTATCTTTTTTCTCAATATTGTATGAGACGAAATCATTTTAAAGTCAAACATTTTTACAAAACATCGACAAAAGGTACAAATAAAAATTATCTGTCGTTCATATGAAATTTTGACAAAAAAGTAAGAAAATTTGCTTAAAAATTAAGAGAAATTCATATTTTTCGAGAGATTAAATAAAGAATTTGATTTGGTTAACTTTATAATGCATGAAGATGATCATTCGAATTATATCTTAAACTATAAATCTGAGGTCCCTCTATCCTAATCACATATCAAAAACCAAATTTTGTCGGAACGACAGATCATTTTCATGGATTTTTTTATAACCTTTTGCAGAAATGATTGATGTTAAAATGATTTCGTCTTATACAATATTGGAGAAAAGGTTGCTCTAGTGTCGTCGCTTTCGATTGATGAAAACCGCAACTCTCTAGCTCTTTCCTTTCTTGAGTTATTGCAAAAATGGCTGCGACCATTATTTTTTTTAACAGACAATAATCTTCCATTTATTATTTTGCCGATTGTAATGCATTCTAGTGTTATTCTAATCATTTTGCTTTGAAAATTCTTCGAAATACAACTCAGTCTATAACGACACATAAAGTTCGAAATGAACTACGACATCAATCTCAACTAGACTTTGATCAGGCCAGGTTAACGCGAAAAAATTTGGCCTGGTCTAGTAACCTGGCAGATACCAGGAGATCATGGTAAAATGAAGTTGTCTTATGGAGTTTTTATTATTGAAAAATGATTTTTATGGAAAATATACATCATATTGTGAATTAACACCTAAACATACAATGAAAATTTAATATCCTATCATAAAATGTTTCGTATCACAATTTTACTTCTACTTGTCTTCAGCTTTCATTCTTCAATAGAAAGTGGTGGTTCTCGATGACTAATAAAATTTGAATGCGAAACATTCTATGATGAGATATAGGATTTTCATTGTATTGTTCATTCAGGCTATAATGTGTACTTTCCATAAAAATCATCTTTTAACGATACAAACTTTAAAAGATGATTCCATCTTTCTGACATTTCGCTAGAATTACTTGAAAAATGAGTTCTATCGATAATAGTAAAATGATTTTTAAAAAGGATACATCACTTTTTTCCATGCTCCGTAATGATTAGAATAAAACAACAAAAAATATCCGATCCATAATGACCTAAGATTTTCGGAGAATTATCAATTCGTTTTATTATTGTACTATATTCGAATACTTTGAAATTCATATGTGTAGATTTCATTTTGTATGCTGAGTGTTCTATGCACATTTTTCAAGCTTCCGAAACAAAATATATATCTCGAAAAAAAATTAATTCTTTATAAACTTTATTTTACAGAAAAGATTTTGAAGATTTTTAATCTTTCTATCCTTGTAAACTGCTATCGAACAATTTTAAAATATCACAGAAAGACAATATCATCAAATCAAAACATAAGCAAAGAAGATTTCAAAAAACTTGATCGTATTAAAGATAATCTCTGCAAAGTATGCAACAATATTTTCACATGTGAATATATTTGAAAATTTTATTTTTATATATTTTACCACAACAACAACGAACAATACAATATGGTCAAATATTTACAAGAAACAATTATTTAAAATATTCATTAGTTGTTACATTCGTACAGATACAATAATTTCTTCTATCGATTTTTGTTCGATTTACCATCCATTGGTTGACAATTTTGCAAATGATTTAATTATTTTCTAATATTCAATACTTGTAATCTTATTTTCAATATTCTATTGTTTTGATTACGTTTCAACAAAAGTAAAATCAATAGTTTACATTCTTGACGAAATGGCTTTGAAGCTAAAAGATGAATATAAAATATTGAACATGAATTAATAAATATTAAGAATTGAAGTGCCAAATAACGAATAAAACCTTCAATAGCTAAACGATTTGTTGTTTTTGAAATATTTGATGTAATAGTCAAATAAATTGTATATATTGGAAACCATACTGTTGATATAAAATAGATAACTACTTCACTTATTACAATAGTCATCAATTGAATATCTCGTTTTTGCATTCTTATTGGCCTATTTATATTTTCATTAGTATATACTATATTCGGATGAATTCGAATATAAGATAGTCGAAGATTTTGAATAGCCAAAAATGAAAATATAATCATTATAAAAAGTGGAATCGATGTGACAATTGCTGCATAAATACTATAGACAATTAAATATGTACCTGAACCACCACATCGTCGTCCAGGCATTTGAATATCAATATAAATGAGAACATGAATGGGTAAAATTAACCATAGAATACATATAATAATCACCAATAAAATAGCTATATTGTATTGATTTAGACGACGAATATGAGCATTACGTGAACATAGAGCAAATCGATCAATACAAGCTAGTGCAACACTTGAACGAGACATCATTAAAAGAACATGAATTATATATCCTCTAGCTTTACAAAATGTTGATGAATATAAAGCTATATCATAGTTTTGATAAGAAGCTAGAAGTGCTGGAATAATACCACATAGAATAACTAATAAATTAAAAATAGATGTTGCTATAAAATAAACTGAACATGAATTTGAACGAAATTTCTTTTGACAAAAAACAATTAGATCAAATAAAGAACCAATAATACCCAATACCATACATATTGCTAAGATATAACGAGTAAGAATAGCTTGCGTCAAAACAAGATCTTCGGTGAGCGTCATAGATATATATGAGTTAATGAAGATATTTATTTAGTTGTCTGAAATTCATAGAAAGAAAACTGATAAAATAGAATAGAATACTGACGGAGGGAACTGCTTGAAGTGAGTTACTGCATTTGCTCTCATATTTTATTTACAACTAGAAGATCTGTGAAATATAAAAAATCCTCAGAAGATATCGGCTTATGTTACGATTTGACCGAGGTATGGAAGTGTTATTCAAATTTTTCTGTAGGATCTTGATGCTCCAGCAAAATCATACTTTTGAATTTCGACCTAAGGTTTTGCCCAAATCAAAATCTCAACTAGACTAGCTCATAAACAAATTTTCAGAACTTTTTAGTGTAACATTACTGATATATGATTTTTTCCAATATATCCATGTTGTATAGAATTCCTATAGAAAAACGCCTATATTTTGAAACATTCATAACTTGATAATGTTACACGGCAAACTTTTGAAGTTTTTTCTCTAAAGCTAATCTAGAGAAAGATCTTGACTTAGACAAAGTTTCAAATCGAAATTCAAAGGTATGATTTTGCTGCAGCATCAGGATCATACATGAAGACTTCAGTAACAATTTCATACCTCAATTAAATCGTAATATGGGCTCATATCTTCTACTTGTGAAAAAAATATGAGGGCAAACGCACACTGAATCACTTGAGCAGCTCCCTCGTTAATGAATAGAAAAGATTGAACGTATTTAAAAATTCATCTAAAACAATCAATATTTAGTCTGTATCAAGTACATTCTTGAGTACAGTTAAGAAAATTTCTTATATTAAATTATTTCTCTAATGAACGATTGAGTATGTTTTATTGCGAAATTTCAATTCAACATACGGATAACTTGAAATCTTCAAATTATTCTTCATATATTTTTAGTTTCGTTAGAAAAAAATGATGTTAGTCTCAATGAATTTGAATAATTTTAGAATACTATATGAAAGCCTACTTCTTACTATATAATTTTATTGTTGATGTAATTATCTATGACATTGACATTCAATAAAAGGTATTGCATCTTTGTATTGTTACTCTCTTTGAATCTTAAGATCTTTTATGATTCTCACTGCTTCACACTACCTTCTATTTTTTCGAGAGGGATTCACATCACTACTCTCTTTCAGCAATTCTATAGATCCATTGTAGGCTAAAGCATATCTTTATATGCGGGTCAATAATCAATGAAGTAAAATCAGATTTCTAAAAAAAGAAATGTCACAAAATTATTAACAAATGAGGAGGTTATTTGTAGCAAACTTTATTAATTACTAACGACTAAGAAGAAATTTCTCAGGAAATTCTCTAATTATCGATTCATAAGAAAGAAAATCTAAGAAAATTATTTTGTAGATTTCAGATATCACTGAAAAATTTTTATAGTTTTCAAGATGGACTTCTTTATTTCTATAGATTTACCACTTGATTTAATCATATCAATGTTCAAGAAATTTTAGAAATTCCTCTAATTCTCTACGAATTCCTAGAATGTTGTATATCATTTCTTTAGGATCTTTTTTTTCTCATAAATCAATAATTACTGAAGTTTCCTAAAAAATAATCTGTCCGTGCGTTAGTAATTTCAGAAATCTGAACACTGCTGTGATGATTAATAAATGCATTTTCTTTTTAACTCTTGTAGCTTATTTTATTAATAGACTCAACTGTTTACTATAAAAAAATTGGATATATTAGATTTAGATAGAAATTCATGTCAACACGTTCAGACTTATCCTAGAATGAAAAACAAAGGTCTAAGTGCAATTAAAAGTAACTATTCTGTAAATATATTAATCATTCGAATGTTTCAGATCATCCTCAAAACTTGATCTTGACCCAGGGACATTTAAGTCGCATGAAATTTTCAGGATATGCTGGGGCTATCCTGAAAAGGCTATCATAAAAATTTTCTGACGTACATCTTGATGTTTTCGGGACATATTCAACTAACAAGGTTCAAGAAAAACGCTCATTTGGCAACCTAAAATTCTCTGTGGACCTTCATTCTATAGACTTAATTTTTTGTTTGTTCGAAAGCTCATGTCAGGATGTAGGACATGACAATGGTCTTTCTTTAAAAATTTTTACTGTTTAAGTGGAGAACAGGGATAACAAGCTCAATATCTCTAAAAACTGTACTCTAATTGTAAAAGTACTCTTTCATATAATAATAGCAAAGCTTAATTTAAAAAACTAGACTTTGACATGCTCCACATCTTAGCATCGTTTTTCAAACAAAAAAAATAAGCCGTCTGCAATAATGAAGTTCCTTCGAGAATTCTGAGATGCGCAATCAAAAAAAACTTAAAAAAAAGAAAAAGCGAAAAAGCGAAAAAGATTTTTCCGCTTTATCTGAAAAACCATATTTTTCAAGCAGAAAATGATGAAAATTTTTAAAAACAATGAGATATCAAATAAGGAATTATGTCATCTATGGAAGATCAGATCTCGAGCTATCTTGTCATGCATTTATCTCAAGTTTCATATTTTTCAAGAAAATTGACTTTTTTTGTTTGAGAGGAGGCTTGTTATGTCAATAGTTATAGTTCGAAATCTTTAAAATACATGAGAATGAATTTTCTTCATAATTCTGATATATAAAGTCTTAAATTTTCCAATTATTGAAATTGAACTAAGACTATGATAGAGTGATGTTGATGATGCTTCAACTTAAATTTGAGATCAACTGAAATCTATTTGTAAAAAAAAATATCGATTATGCACTAATTTTCTAGAAGCATTTTAACTCAAAAAAAAAAAGTTTGCATAATAATATCGATACCTTGGCAGATGAAAAGAAGTTATACGTGAATGAAATTTCCTGAAATTAAATTATAAAATATATATTTCATTAGAGAGACATGTCAACAGTTTTCTTTGACATCTGGAAGAACTCATTAAAAAATAATAAAAAGAATACTTACTATCGTTTTCTATTAAAATAGAAGCTAACATTATTTCTGTATTCTATATAAAATACAAAAGAAAAGTTAGCTAAATAGCAACATTAGCTAAATCTAAAAAATATAATTATCTTGCTTCTTTATAGAAACAGAAGTTTAAAACTTAACGGAGGAAATTCTAGTTTACTGCATTATTTTTACTAGAAGACTAATTATACTATATAAACGACAAATTACGTCAATTTTTATTTTAGTTTTCTTTTCTGGAAGGCAAACATATATTTTCGATGAAGATAGCAAACACATATCATATGGAGCGACAAATATTTTCTTTTAACCGAAAAAATAAGACGTAGAAATACTCATTCAGTAACTTGGAAATTTTTATTTCGTTTACAAAAAAGAAATAGTAATTATTTTAATAAAAACTACATACAACAGTAGAATAGAAAATATTTTGTAATTAGAAAAGATTGGTTTCGATTTTCCAATGATGAACAATATAGCATATATAGACGAAACTTAAAACATACAAATGTAGAAGACAGGAAAGATTGATTATCCAACAAAAAACTGATTGTATTGGAAAATATAGAATACTTCGATTTTTATCTCTTCGTTTGCTCTAGTTCATTTACACAATGATTTTTTTTTTTGAAGAAATCTTTTAGCAATACAACATTGATAGACAAGTGAATAGGATAGAAGATTATTATAAGTTCTTAACAACATTTTGACATTTTTTCGTTCGGTTAAATTTTTTGTAATTCTACGTAGCACAATAACTAAAATAAATTTCGAAGAGGCAAGCAAACTCAATTTTAAGAACTTCTTCTTTAAAAATCCCACACTGAATAAAACATTGATTTCAAGTTCAAAGACAAAAGCATATTCTAATCTTGCATGAATCTTCTTTTGATCGGTCATTTGTCAATAATAAGATTGCAAATGATTTGTGTAACTGTTTTATAATGAGATGTTATTGATATACAGTCGCTGATCGCATATCAACAACGTCTGTACAGGTCTGTAGGGAAGCGTGAGGAATGGGTCCAAATTTTTACTTTTACACTTCAACACTCCTTTTAGATCATGTTTCACAAAATATTTAGCTATGTCAATAGTTGGTAGAAGATTTAAATAAAGCTTTAGTTCTATTCTGTTTATCCTATAATACGAGTTTCAAATGTAATATATTCATCAATCCTTACTTACCTTGCATTTCTTTTTTGAATAAAAAGAAATGTGATATTTAAAAGAACTCATTTTGACAACATCTTTTATTTCATGAATAAATAAATATACTAAAAACATCCTCAATATTTTTTGTATCATTTCAAAATTATCATCGTCATTGTGTCGAACGGAAATACAACTAGTAGAATTCATTAACTTGACAAGCACTCGTACTGAATATTTGAATAGGATGAAAAATATAAGAATGTCATTGTCATTGAAGTAGCATACTTCATTCTTTTATTTTTAGACAAAATTCATAGAAAAGTGCAATTCTAATATTTTTCTTTTAAGATCTGAATGTAGAGATTACACATATAAATTATTCTTTAATGTTTTTTTAAATCTTTTGATTCATTACATTCTTTAATTATCGGTATAATTTCCTTTATCTTTTATTAATATCTAGATTATTCTATAGAAATGACCCACATTCAGTAATAACGGTTGTAGACAGAATAATAAAATAAAAACTATTCATTCTATTCTTGTATATTAAAAATTGATCAATTTAAATCGAATATTTTTTTTTAATGTATTGTGGTTCAAATAAAAAGTCACAAAAAAGTAGATGTCATATTGAAAAGCAGTATACGTTGTTTTCTTCTTTATAAACAATGAATAGTTTTAAAGTATAGAATTTCTAAACAAAAAGTAGATTAATATGCAAAACAAGATATCCATACAGTTTGCTCTTGTTTTTTTTTTATTCTAATTTGGTAGAAACTAATCTTATTTTTATGAATGTTTTATATTTAATTAATGCAAAAGAACAGATCGATTATCTATTTGTTTTTACATTGAAAAATCTATACTATGATTTTCATCACTATTTTACTTAATGAAAACAATTACAAAATATAAAATTGTTTGAATCAGCTACGAAAGAATTATTTATTGAAATATACAAGAAAAACAAACGTAACATTATTTGTCACAGAAGTAAAATATTGACATTCAACAAAATACATCATATTTCAATTCTTGTATATTTTTTTTGTATATTAAAGATGAGGAAGAATTTGATTGAAAAGGAAAAACATAAGATGTCAAAAGGAACTTTGGATTCGAGTATTAATTACATTTACCATTATGCCAGAAACAAATTGGATGCCATTCTAAATAAATCAAATAAAATTAGATCAAAAAGAAAAAAACAAGTTTTCATTTAAAATATTTACCATGATAATAGTTATCCCTAAAAATTAAACAATAGTTTTTATTTTCATGTAAACAATAATTTACAAAACTTACCATCCCCAAAGACGGCCACGATGCCAACGAGCAAACCAACGACTAGGTAAACGATTAGGCACAGCATCATATCCAACAACAGGCCAGCCATTTGGATAAGCTACAGTTATAGATAAAATAAGAATTTTTAGTAATATTAAAATTAATCTAATTTTTTCGCTACCTTGGTTGGCAATCACTAAAGTAATTAAAGCCAAAAATACAATAAGTAACGTTAAACGTATCATCATTATTAAGAAATTATTATTATTATAACTTGTTATGATATAACAAATGTATGTCTGTATAGAATGTTTTGACCTATAGCCTTTTTCTTAAGAATATAACAGGGGATACATTCGTTTATATATATAGCCGAAGAAAAAAATAGAGAAATACGTCCAATTGACATGACCTGTTAACAAAAGTGTTACACACGGTCGAAAGAAAATTCGAGAATACATTTCAATACGATTTATTTTCTAGTTGCAGCACGTCCAACAATATCTTTCTATTTCAAAGAATAAAATAAATATACGTCTGACTGTAAGCGATTTCATTGAATTCTTTATCTATAAAAGAAAAGGAACGATGATAGAATATGTTTACTATGATTTTTTACTTGAAAAATAATGGTTCAATAACAATACATGTCATAGTTTTAGTTATATATTAATAATACTCGTACAATTATATTTAGAATCTCATATCTCTACATCGTCAGTCATTTGTTTTGTTCTATAAAATTGTTGAATATCGAAATATTTGCTATAGAACCTTATGTTCTATTGGTGCATTTGAACAAATAATTGATAATCAACTGAAACAAAACAAAACGAAACAATCTAATGAGGTTGTAGTCTAACTGATACAGATGACATATCATTTTCTTTGCATTTCAATGTTAAAACATTCTATTCTTTATTGTTCTTAGTATTATGACATGAAAAATTACTAGCATGATTTTAAAGTTTTACATTTTGTTAATTTAAAATCATTAACAATTATCTTCTAATTTAATAACTATTAAAGAAAACGGCACAGAATGGTTTTCTTCATCCTGTTTTGTAAGACGATCTTATCACATATTTTCCAGCAGAAATAAAATGAACAATAAGAAAAACAATATTGAACATCTATATAGAGTGAACCCAACAATAATAAAACAAATATAAAGATGTGGAATTCAAAGTGTAATAAGTTTTCTTTTTGGTTTTTCTTGTATGAAAAAATAAATAATATATTTTATCAATTTGATTTGGTGATAAATGTGTTCATCTTTATAATAATGGAAAACCACGACGAGTTCCATTACGAGCTCAGACCTTCATGGAATCAGGATCTATTAGATGATTTAGAGTGTCCTGCATCTTGCATAGCAGGTCACGCATTCTGGGACGTCCTCTGATAACTAAATCCTTTGATTTCGATATAATAAAGATTAAATAAATCATCGTTATAGACGTCTTGTATTAATTGTACTCTTGAATCACTTTCATAAGAGATATTCGGTGATTATTTGATGCACCACTGTTTACCATATTGCACAAGCTTCTAACAAAGATCTAAAAATAATCTAAACTTTCATTCATTCGTTATTGTCAAAATTTTATTTTAGAAATATTGGCCACTAGAATTTAGTCATCAATAAAACTAATTTAACTTCATAGTTTATAGATATAAACCGTTTATCTGTTATATGTTATCATACAAATTCTTTGAAATAACGGGTGGGACAAAAGTTTTGCATTAATTTTGTTTTTGATATAACTCTACAACGCAATGTCGTGAAGACTTGATTTTTTTTTTGTTAGAAAGAGCAAAGTGTCTAGTGCAAGAATATATAAAAGAGTTTGATTGGAAATGTTTTTCGAAAACTACAACAATCTTAGAACAGAAGGCGTTGGAAAACTCTTCCGGAACTTTTTTGAACTTAGAAAAAAATTCCTATAATTAGACAGGTTATCTTTTTATTCGACTAATCCGGATTTTATAATATAAGGATAGAGTAGTATTACGTTACAAAAAAAGAAATTTTCTACATGTTTTATAACGGTTGAAATGAACGCTTTTATGATATCGTCTGTGTCATCGATTTTTCATCATTGTTGGTAGCAATCGAAAAAATAAACTCTATTTCGCAGAAGAGATTGCTAGGAGCTATATATTTTATAAAAGAAAGTTTATTGAGTCCTCTACCAAATGATATTATTTGGAATAGAACGTAACTTCTCTATGAGATATTCAGAAAAAAACTTCTTTTCACGCTGCAAAACCAAATTCGAACAATTAATTTGTTTTTATCAACGTGTCTTTTGTTCATTCTCTTGTATGTTATACCAATTATTTTAATACCAAATGAAAACCTCCGTTGTAATGAACAACTGTATATATATGGTGCTCGAAAGTGGCTAATGAAAAAGGCTCAAACAAATATTTTTGGATTAAAAAAATGTGACGAAAGTTGCGGAAGAGTTTTTCGGAGCATTGTGTTCTAAAACTATTGTGACCTTTGAAAAGCATTACAAATCAAATTCTTTTATATATTTTTGCACTAGACACTTTGCTCTTTCTAACAAAAAAAAAATCAAGTCTGTACGACATTGCGTTGCAGAGTTATATCAAAAACAAAATTAATGCAAAACTTTTGCGCCACCCGTTATAATACGAACTATTTATATTCTTTTTCTAAATAAGATTTTGGAATATTCTGTATAGTTTTTAGTGTACAATCCTCATTGATCAAAATTGGAAGTAGAAATTAAATCATACATATTGTACTCTATTTTTGAGACAAATGATATAGTAATTCACCGAGAAGATGAATAATCGATAATAATAAACGTCTAGTCGATTATTAGATTGTGGTTGACACTGAAATTTCATTGCTTAAACATAGTAATTAGAAACTTAACAGAGTTCAGAATTCATTATGAATGAACTATTGTTACGTTTTCATTTTATTCAGATTTGCTGACGTTTATTTCCATGTTTTACTGATACAGATTTGTTTGACGTGCTCTTATAATAATGAATTTAATTTTGTAAATTGACATAACTGTTTTTGCATTAGATATGTTTTGTTGTGGATATATATTCGATTTCTTAGGTTTTTTCCTATGGCAAAATATTGACAATAGTTAATTTGTAATTGTTCAGTGATCTATACAAATTTTAAAAGTATGGTACAATAGTTTTGGTAATCTTGAAATGTAACAGTAATACTGTTGAAAAGAAATCAAAAAATTTATCCTCTTAATGGATTTTGAAAAATACCGAAGATTACATAAATATTAGAAGTTTATTAAGATGTTCGTAACGTGTTTAATAAAGTATCAGATATCCATAATGATGAATTATTTTCAAATTTCGTGTTGATTTGATGTAATAAGATAACTTCTGATTGAAATAATGTTTTGTTTTGTATATTCTCATACGTAGATTTAATAATCGTGTTTTCATCTCTATTAATTTCTAAGTATGATGACTTTTTCATTGATAATGTGCAAAAATCATGTACAGAAAGTTTGCCTAAATAATTCAAACGAAAAAAACAAAAATTATTTTAAATCAATTATAAAATAATTTATTTATGCAAACTATCATCAGCATAAATAGAATTTAATACAGTAATATCATATTATTCGATTCATATTTTTCTATATCTATGATTTCTTTAGATGGAAAATGAAAAATAATAGGTATTAGCTTTCTTTTTTGAGTTTGTTAGACCATGTAAAAGATTCGTCTACATTTGATATTATCTAATCAATATTTCTTTTTAAAATGCCATATGAACTTTCATTCTTAATTGAAGTATTGTCAAGTGGCATATATTCCATACCATTTTAATTTAAAAGCTTAAATCATGATATTATCTTATTTGTTAATAAAAGAAGCAAAAAAAAACCAATCAAATAAAATTTAAAATTATCGAAATTTTTATTTACATTGATGAATGCTAATGAAACATTTTACATCTCGGAGAAAGATTCAATATGAAAATCTAAATAAAATTTTTAATAAATCAATATTACAATAGATTATCGAATCAGTGATAACAAAAAAACAACAAACAACCAACAGAATTTTGACTGAGTTTTGAATTATGAAGACTATGACATGTAGAGCTCGACAGTTCCGATTTGGTTGCCAAAATATCACGTGGAATCAAAAATTTTTAATATACTTTTAAAAAACTTTCACTATTGAAATTGAAAACGCCACATATTCTAGTACTTAAACAAAACAATATGATACATATATACTGAAGTTTTTTATCTCAAGAATGAAAAAATGAAGATTTCTCGACATAGATTTTAAATATTCTTGTATCTATCCGATGATTTAACAGTTCCCATTCCAAGAAATTTAAAAAAAATCGGTTTCAGTTTGTTAAAACCGATGGTTTCTAATGCCATAACAAAATCTCTGAATAAATTGATGAAATTAAGAAAAAAAAAACATTCAATTCAGAATATAACTTTATTTTCAATTCGTTCATCTTTGAGAATAAAAAAATTTTCGAAAAATAAACATAAATAATATTCTTTGATCATCATTATCATCTTTTTCTCAAAATTGACTCTCCCATCCTCACACTTTTTTTTTTCGTCTCTTTGAAAAAAATAAGAATAAAAACGTATTGTAAATTAACTTGTTTATTTGTTACACATCTTCGTTAGATTTTTTTTCTTCTATAAAAGTAAAAGAAAAATAAAAAACTCGTTAAATGTTTATTATTATCATCATAAAATGATGACATTGGCTTATCGTCACAATGATCACTAAAGAGAGAAAAAAATATGTTCATTTTCCTAGTGTCAACTTATTCGAAAATATTTCGTCGGCATCACTTTTCTAAATCAACCGTATCGTAATACATATATATAGAAGCACCAGTTTCCGACTTCTGAATATATATTTTCCCGTATCTAAACGAAAATTTTGCTATATATTTTTGTTTTGATCTTGTTTCATTGATAAAAAGCGAAGGAATCACATTTTTCTACATAATATCAGTTAAATTCGAAATAAAATTTCTATAACGTAAGTCGAAATACTTTTATCTTGTTGTTCGATAGATATCAGTTAACAAAATTTTTCGTTTATTTGATCAATAAAAACTACCAAATGGCATGTTGTTCCTTTTCTTTTTGTTTGTTTTCTTTGATCTATATCAATCACCAGATGAGCTTAGGTGTATTAATTAGTCTTGTTTTTTTCTACTTTTTTTGATGTTATTCTATTGATTATTATTGTCTTCTGAATTATGATTGGTGAAGAAAATTAATAGAAATTTTTTTCATAACTATGAATAGAGATGTTCTATATCACAACTGCTATCATTCATTTCAAAGTTATTTAAAAAATATTCATCATCTAGTTATTACAAAAGGTTAAGTACTCTGAAATTTTTTTTGTTCAGTCATTCTTTTGCTATATAATATTATTTCTAGGGATTTAAATATGGATCCATATTATTCTTCTCCAACACCATATTATTATCAATCAACATGTCCTTTACATGATTCCTCTTCATCATTTTTATCTGATTCTTATATTGATCCTTATTCATCATATCCATGTCAATCAACATCGTATTATTATCCAGTATATAATGATCAAACAACATCATCAATGGGTTTTTATAATAATTCAACAACAAATACATATGTTCAACCAACATATACAATGCCACAAACAAATGTTCAAGTTTCACCAGCAAATATTCAAGTTAATCATAGAACACAATCATTGAATACAACTTTTGAATCAGGTAGGATTATTTCGCATGAAAGTTGTTTTTTTTTTTTGATGATTTTTGTTTTTTTTAGTCCCTCGAACAGGTCGTCGTCGACGTCAACGAACTATTTTTTCCAAAGATCAAGTTGATATACTCGATCAAGTATTTGAAAGAAATCAATATCCTGACATACAACTTCGTGAACAACTTTCTCAACAACTTGATGTTCCTGAAGCTCGCATTCAAGTATGATTCATTTTAAGAAAATTCTTTCAAATTTAGAAGTTCTTTTTTTTTTGTAGGTTTGGTTTAAAAATCGTCGAAGCCGTGCTCGAACAGCAACAAAGTCACAATATTAATATAAACTAGCCGTTGAATTTCATGCACGTGCTTTTCTGTAATTTATTTTTAGTTAATAAAATTTCTTGTATAAAAAATTATTCGATAGCTTATTAATTGTAATGTTTGATTGAAGAGAAAGATGAACAAATTTTTCTTTGCCAAAAAAAAAAGTTTAAATATGAATGTGGCAATGTATATATCACACTTAAGCTTGATGAGAAAAAAGACATGTGTCTTGGTGTTAGAAGATAACAGGAAAAGACAAGTTTTTTTTGTTGTATAGATTAATTGTAATATTGAATAAGATGAGTGATGAAGAAGAAATTTTGATTCCTAATGAACAACTTCGTTCGCTAGGAAAAAGTCGTTTTGCTGCATGTTGTGTTACGTGTAGTCTATTAATAACGTCTATTGTATGTGCAATTGTAATATATCTAACAAGCAACAGAGCTGTATCAGAATTAAAATATGATTCATTATGGTTTCCATCAACTGGTAGTGAATCATGTATTCGTCTAATCGATATTAATGGAGATGGACTTGATGATGTTATTGTTGCAGTAACTGAAGTAACAGCAATTACAAATAATATACAACATGACAAGAATCATTCATCATTTTGTGAATCAATCAATGTAGAAGTTCCTTGTAGTGGTATTGTATATGGTATACGTGGTTATGATTTTACTATACTATGGTCATTTCGAGTTAAAACATCTATATTCGAAATAGTTTGTGATGCCATCGATATTAATAATGATGGCCATCGAGATTGTATTGGTGCTGGGCGACAAGGTACATTAGTTGCATTTGATCCTCGTATTGGTAAATTGTTGTGGCATAATAATAAAATAAAATCAAAACATTCATTATGGAATTTTTATAATCCTCTTATACTTCCAGTTGATGTTGATCATGATAATATAAATGATATACTTATTTCACATGGTGGTAATCCAACAATACCATCGGAGGTACATGAACGTAATGCTAGTTGTTTATTAATTATTTCAAGTCGTACTGGAAATCAAATAGGTGAACCATTTTGGATGCCAGATGGAAAAGAAACATATATGTCACCAATTTTATATAATAATTCTACAATACTTTTTGGTACAGGTGGTGAAACAGTATCAGGTGGATTATACGGTATATCAATAGAAAATATTATAAAACAAAATAATTATTATGTAACAATTTTTCAATCATTTGAAAAGGGTGTTATGGTACCACCGATTGTTCTTGATATTGATCATGATGGAATTGATGATATACTTGTAAGTTGTTTTGATGGAACATTAGAATTAATTAATGGAAAAACAATGAAACCCATATGGACAAGAATATTTCCAGGATTTGAATTTTATGCTTCACCAGGACCAGGTGATTTTAATAGTGATTCATTTGTTGATTTTATGATTATACTTAACCATGGTAACAAATATTATTAAAGAATAAAAACAAAATAGGACCATAATTTTTTATTTTATTTCTTAGGTGAATGGGATCGATATAATTATAGTGAAATATTAATAATTGATGGTTTGACAGGTGAAACAATTTGGATAAAAAATAATACTTTTGGAGAATTTTCATCTCCATTAATATTACAAATGACAAAAAATGGAAAATATCAAGATAGTTTCATTTATCAACAACGTGGTCAAATATTTGAAAAAAATCATTCAAATACATCTTCTATATTATTTCATGGAATTGGACTTCAAGATGGAGAGATTTATAAGTAGATTATTTGAAATTATTTTTATTTCCTTTTCTTTTTTCTTTATTTTGTTCTTTAGAAATGAAAATTTAGTCTCATTGAATACAAATTATTCGTGTGATCAATTTACATTAAATGGTTCAATTGTGAATATATATTTAACAAATATTGAAGAAACTCGATTAATAGGTTTAATATATCCTCCTATGAATAAGGAAAATAATCTTTGTAGTGATTATGAACCTATGGAACGATCTGGAGGTGCTATTGGTGATCTTAATGGTGATGGTATTTTCGATATAGTTGATATAACAACATTTATAACAAAATTAACATCACATAATATAGAAAATTTTGTTGCACATTCAATTTTAACAAGATTTTCATTGAATATAAACAAAATTGAAATTCAAATAGTAGCAAATTATCAAAAAGATATTTCTAATAAAACAATTGATCAAAATCTTATTAATTTATTAAAAGAAAAAATTTCTTTTCCAACAAAATCTATTAATAATAAAAATTTATATATTATTTCAAAACAAACATGGAATAGTTATTTAGGTCGATTATCCGACAGTCATTACTATCGAAATATTTAATAATATTTATTATTATGACATTATTCAGTTTTAGTGTCTAATAATTATTGTTGAAGAATCGATTAAAGTTATTTTTTAACCTACTTGTATACATTTGATATTCCTTGTTTTGTTTTGTTTTTTTGAAAATGAAAAGAATGATTTATGCTCACTATTTAATTCTGATTCAATATGAATATTATTTATTCAACGATAATGACACATTTTACAAAAATCACTTCAGCAAATATACAATGGTTGTTATTTAAATGACTAGTAAAATAGATGAAATAATCAATAAAAAAAGATAGATTTTATTAGCAGAATTTTTTTTGTCCATATAAAATAGGGCGTAAATGTGGGTGTAGACTCGAATAGGCGTTCATTTCATTCACACACACATACGCCTTTATGATGTCTCAGGTTCAGTTTCATGAACAGTAACTTTTCTCACTATCTGCATGATATACTGGATAAATACCTGCTCTATATTAAAGTCCACGATTGTTGACTTTGTTGCATCTGTAATAAACTGTTCTCCCATTTTCTCTATAGTTCATATAATGTTTTGACGATGCATTTCTAATGAATGCTTCTCCTCGATCGACATTATCAAATGTGGCCTTGCTAATCCAATATTTCGATTTCTTTTTTTTTGGCAAGATCTTTCGCTTCCATTTATTTCATAATTTTCTTCCACAACATCTTCATCTGATATATCATTGTCATATTGGGCAACTTGTATCGTGTCTTTAAGCTAAAGTTGAAGAAAACAAGAGAAGCAGAGTACCTACATGTATGTGGTACATAGTATTTGTATTACATGGTACAAGAAAAGAAGAAAACAAGTGAATCATATTTACAACGCATTTCAATCTCTATATTTATCCATTGTTTTAATGGACCGTTAGAAAATTTTATTTGCTGATTTCATAATTATTTAACTTAGTGACGATTCCATCTATTTTATTAGCTACATAATCTGTTTCCCTATATAATCTATTATTTTATTATATTCTCATTGATTTTCAACATTTAAACGTTCTCTTTCAACATGATATAACCTTTTTGATGTGCACGTCTAGAAAGAAGGAATCGCATTAAAAAGATTCAAGAACTATATTATTTTGGAATCAAACAGTAGCACATTATCAGATTGATCTCATGGTTAAAAAAAAAGCAATGAAAATTTATTATATAAATAAAATATCATGAATATTAAATATGAATAAAGGAGAAAAAAAACCTAGTTTCTTAATAGGCAATAGTAAGTGTTGATGGTATTGTATGAATAATGGTCCCAGTAAAATTTGCAATGACTTGTGTTGTTAATGAGTAATCATACAAAACGTAAATATTGCCTTTTGAAATACTAACTTGTCCATCAGTTATATTAACTGGTCGAATATGTATTTGTGTATTTGTTAAATTTTTTAATTAATTTATTAATTGATTATCACAACTTGTAGAAAAATTTATTAAAAAATCAGCTGTGCCTTGAATTGTACTATTTGAATATCTAGGAGAAATAAAATTTATATACAGTATGTGTATATTATCATTGATTTTTATCTTAATTGTTTTCTATACCAAAATTGTAAAATGATCTGATTGATTGTGATGTTAAGTGCGTTAGAACTGTTAGAAGATTGCGTTTGTCGTTCAATCTTATGAAATAAATAATAGACAAATATATGATTCTTAATGGAAAAGATTTGATCAATAATGATTTTCAATTTGTTTGATTTGTGTAAAGTCTTTGCACATCAAAACCAATGCTAAAAGTAAATTACTTAAGAAAATCTTCCTCCTCTTTTTTGACCATTTCTGGTTCTCGAAGAGGATGCAACCAGTCTATATGAAATGTTTATTGTAGATAGAGCACCTAAAATAAGGAGCAACACGTTCGAGAAAAAAAAAGCTTCGAACCAGATTTCCGCTGTTTTTCTGGAAACTCTGATTTTTCACAGGAACATATCTAGTCTGGTTACAAACTCCGTCTAACGCTGTCCGATCGAGCTGAAAATGTTTTTAGGAGGCACCTTAGGCTATTTCTCAAAGGTGATTTGAAGCTTTTTCAAAAATCTTGCCTTCTTTCTTTTTATAAAAGAAATACGTAAAGGTTCGGATCCAAAATCGGAGTACTGGTATTCAAGGCTCTACAAATCCAAATAGAACAGTTAAAAATAAAAACGACCGATTTCATTTCTGGAGAATACTTCCAAATATTTGATCTGTGGTAAGGATTTCATGCGGATAGGACGTATCCTCTTCGACAACCAGAAATGATCGAAAAGAGGGGAAAGGTGAGTACCTTTAATACCAAAAGATAGAGAATTTTGTGCTCTATGCTTCAACGATCTTTTCAAAGTTCTCGAGGCTGGTCTGTACGAGAACACAACTGTCGGTATTTTTGAGTCCAATGTGGAAAATCATGTATTCAAAAGTCAGACTTATTCTATGAAAGATTTATTATTATGCTGTGGGATATAGAATTTAATTTTGAACAAAACAATATAAATATTAAATTGAACTGTGAAAATAGTTAGGATTGTTTTGTATTAGAAAGCAACAATTGGATAGGTTAACCGGAAAAGGTCTTCTTTCTGATGCTTTCGCGTTTTTAACTTCAAAACTGTTTCTCCTAAATATTTTTTCTAAAAATTTTGAAACATGCATCTAAAGATGCAGAATTTTGTGAGATAGTTGAAAATTCGTCGCAACCTTTATTAAAAATCTTTATTAGTTAGATGAATAAGCAGATGTTCTTCTTCTAAATTTTTTGTATATCTTGAAATCGTCTATCTTTAAGCATAACAGGGATTTTTTTATGATTAAGAAACAGGAGAACAATGCACTGACAGTGACATCCGTAAAAGACTTATTTCGTCTTCTAAAAAAAAACAACACACTTCTGTACATACTTTTACAGTTTTTCTCTGAAAATCTCGTCATTAAAATGACTAAATTTTGTCTTACTGTTCGTATTAATTCAGGATACATTGTAATAGCACCTGCAAGTGGAACTGGTCCATCATTTTGACTTGCTGAAATCTGTGTATTTGTTTCATCAAGTGTAGCAAAATAATTACTTTTTGCTGTTGAAACTGTTAATACATAATTATTTAGAAGAAATTCTATAAGAATCAATCAATTTCTTTTTGTAATTCTCAGATAAAATCTTTCTACTTACAATAACTAACTTGTATTGATTCATTTGTTTCTATGATATTTGTTGGATTATCCAATTGTAATGAAGAAATAATATCTATTAAAATATAGAAATAAATTATTTAATTTAAAAACATATATTTTTTGTACGTGTAATTATCTTTATATTTTCAATTGGAATATATGAAGTATAAACTATCACTGAATCAGAAAGGATATAAGAAAGATTTGTTGATTGAATAAGAAAACGTATTGATATTAATAGTTGATTACTTGAACATAATTGTTTAAAAATAATAGATCAACAATGTATATTTCATGATTTACATTCTCATGTATACGCAATCAAAAAATTTAATGTAACACTAGAAATACATAGAAATTAAATTCTTTTTTTCTCACCTCATATTATCAGTATATGATGTCATTTGTAAATATATAAATATTAAATTTATCTCGATTGTCACTAGCTTTGAATTGTTGTTCAAGCTATATAATCATAATTATATTTATTTTGACTATGATTAATACAACTTACTGCATATTGAATTGACGAATTCACCATTGATTGAACTTCATCAAATGTTAATATTTCTTTTATATTTTGATAATAATTTAAATCGAACTAAATCTCATTTTGCTAATAATCGACTCATTTGTAAAACATAATTATTTATTCTTACAGCTAGAAAAATAAATACAAAAAAAAAAAAACATATTTTTATTCTTTTTTAATTTCATAATTAAATCAAAACAAGCATATTAGTTAGAATAAAACGTATTTTTGGTACTGATTTATTTTCTATATAAAGTGAAATGATTGACAAGACAATTATAGATGCCATAAGAAATGCAAAATCAATAAAAACAAACATTGCTAATGAAAGTATGATTATTTGTAACCAATATTTTCTAATAATTATATGTCAACATATCCATGATCTTCATATCTAACTTACATTCATTTGACTGTTTGTCTCTTTGATGAAATCATCGTAGGATTTTTATTTGCAAATAATAATTTACTTTTTTTTTCATCAAATCAATTGAATATTCAACAATTTATACTCTCTTTCTTTTTTGTTAATTATATGATAAATGAATATATATATATATATATATACATAAATTTCGTTTTAGGTATATTTGTACATTTTTTGATGTCCAAAATTGATATGCATTATTTGGAACATCAAGATAAAAACAAACAGAAAATTATTTTATTTGCTTTTAAGAAATGTGAATGTTATAAGTAACATGGATAGTATCATATTACTTAAACAACAAAAAAGAAAAAACATGAAAGAAAGCTTTCAATGTGTTTTTATTAATGCCATCTTTTAAAGTCAAAACAAAAGAGTATAGTTGATTTTTTATTTCGCATATATTTAAAATTTGTTTGTCTTTTTGTTTTTAATAAAAACAAAAAATTGAACTGATGGAACGTTATAAAGGATCAAGTCAAGCATCCATTGATAAAAGATCCCACACTACTAAAGAAAGTAGTGCTCTATCAATTAATAAACACAATCAAGTACAAAATGAAATTGATAATCTCATTCAACAAGGAATTCTTGAGCCAATATATAAATATGATCCAAAACTTGATTTTATGTGTGTACCAATTATTAATCGTGATCAAGTTATTAGACAAACTCGTCGACAAACATGTGGACTTATTTGGAATTCAATTCGATCACCAATGATAAGTAAATTAGTATATGATGGTAATTCTTGTGCTTTTGTAGAAATTCTTCGAACACCAAAAGAATGGTCACGTTATGATATAGATCTTCTTCTGCTTAAAATTCGACATAAGAATTTTCTTAATGGACTTGCTCTACGTGATGAATTTGTTCGTATACTTCAAATTATTCTTAAACGTGATTTTAATGAAGAAACAAATAGTGAAAAAAAATATTCTTATGAATTAAAAGATGTTGATTTTACACGAAATACAATTCAATTAGTATTTAATAGTCGACAAGATATTGAATTAACTCTTATTATATCATTAATACTTTTAGTTGAATTTGATGTACCTTGTATAGATTTTCTTCATGATACATATACATTACTTTGTAATCATAATGATTTTAATGATTATTTAAAATATCATCCAGATATAAATCATACACGTTTAACACCATATAATTCAATAAAATTTCTATTTGATTATAGTTTAACTGAAGCAAATTTATGTGAATATTTATTACAAAAATCAAGTCCATTATCATTAATATTAACAGGTTTTTTAAAATTACGAAAAGAATGGTTAAAATATGTTCAACGTGCATCAAAATATGCATCAGATACAATTAAAATGCAAATACATTCAGAAAAACATCGTCAATCAACATGTTCAGTTAATTCAGTACGATCAGCAACATCTAATACATCAACAATGAATAGTAAATTTTTTAATTTAAAATTTTCATAGATTGAATTTTGTTTTTAATTTTTCTTTGTTTTCTTATTTTTAGAAATTACACAAAATAAAATTCCATTATCAACAGAAATTGAAGTAGCATTTGAATGTCTATTTTCTGTATCATTACTTCGTCTTTTATTTTTAACTATTTGTACAAAATATAAACAATTTGGTGCATCATATGAAAATGATACAGCATATGCTATTGAAAAAGCATTACAATTATATAGTGATGCTTTAGAAAATAATTATCTTGAGCATCCATTTCTTAAAAATATTAATTTTTTACCAGATAGTTTAGTAACACATGAATTAAGTATTAAAATTGGAATAAAAAGATTGATTAAAGAAATGCAACGAGATTGGAAACGAAATATACGTCGTTAGAAAAAAAACAATAAATTAAACTTGTTTTTTTGTTTTGTAACTTCTTATATTTTATTTTTTTGTAGTTAAAAAAAAACATCCATAAGAAGTTGTTTTTCATGAAAATTATTCCTTTGTAAAAACAATCAACGACTATATATATATATATATATATGTTTGCACAAGAGACATTGTGCGTTTTTGTAAGTAATAACAGAACACAACAACACAAAAATAAAACGATAACCTTGAATTTTTGATTGTGCCATTTTGAATAAGAGAGTGTGTGAGAGAAAGATCGATAGGTAACTGTGGTTTATTTTTTGTCAACATAAAATTTACCCGTAAAACTTTCTTAAATGTATATTTTTCTAGTAACCTTTTTTCACTCTAGAACAAGTCAACATACAAACACCTCCGCTTGTTTCTTCCTGCTGATACTTTTTGTAAAAAAATAACTAGGTAGCTTCTTCGCTTCGTCGTCGTCATCATCATCATCATCATCATCCTCTTCTTCCTATTTTTCTTTGTCCCATATCTTGTATGAGTAAAGAAACGACAGCGACGACCCCCTCCTCCTAACAACGACATAAAGGTGAAAAGCATAAAGAGCGTTGACGTCAAAGTAGGCAACAAATCAACGACATTCACATAGAAGCACTCATTTCATCATGTTGACAACAACAAATAACAACGACGCATTGCTCATCTAATCATATGTAGGAAAATAAGCCAAGGTAAGCTAAGGTGGTTTATTTATCATTCAAGAATTAGAAATACTTAGATAATTTATATAACAAGAAAACATTTTTGTTTGATAATTATGTAGTCATATTTAAAGATTAGTATAGTTTTATAGATCTCATCGAATATAAATATACATGTAATAGTGTAACTATATCATCTACTTTTTTTAATTATTATTTATTAATCATTGACTCTATTGAAACATCGTATCTTTTATATTTTTGTTTGCATCGGATTATTGTGGTGAAGTAATCATTTTTTTTTCTGTTGCTACCTTGCGATGCACAAAAAATAATCATTTCTCGGATGCCAGCCGGCGTACTTTTATAACACGCATTTTTTGATCAATATAAGGAGAAAAAACGACTATCGAAATAAAAAAAGAAAAAAAAAGAACAAGATTAACTGAGAAAATAAATGGCACAATAAAATGCCTTTTTTCGTTGAGTAAAACCTATGAGTTTTAATGAGAAAATAAAATTTTTTATGTTTGAAGAATTTATCGACTTTATTTTTACTAAAATAATTTCTTCTCGAATATTTCAAGATTCATAATCTTCATTTATCATCATAATGATTTTCGGAATCGATGGACATTTTATGAATGAAAAAAGAAAGATCAGAAAAAATTAAAGAAAAAAATATTACTAATCTATGACGGAAAGAAAAAAACATTAGTTGAATATGTCAGAGTGCATTATGTATATGATTTTTTTTTTAAATATAAAAAGGTAACAGGTTATTATGCTATTGGTTAGGTCTTTTTCTTTTCCAGCTTCTGAAATACAATGTGACATTACTGTAAACCGCGACGAGACATTTTAAATGATAACTTTCGATTAAGCATAGAAGATGTTATAAAGGTAAATATCACGGAACGAGATAAAGACATGACTTAACAATTCTTTTATATATATAGATATAAAAAAAATATAACAAAAAAATCATTCTCTTCTCTCATATGTTTTTATTGTGATAAAAATTCATTTTTTTGTTCTTTCGTAATCAACACGTACATACATATTTTCACTTTGTTTCCTTCGTCACAGGCATAAACAGAAACCTCATTTCTTTTCTCTTTCTTATTATATGAGTGTATGAAGAAAGGCCACATCAAACATATATCGACAAGATTTTAATACACATACATCTACTCTCTTACATGTGCGTGCAGTTCGAGTCTATTATATATGTTGACACAATTCTTGGTCGCGTCGACCACTGTTGAATATATATATATATATATCTATACATATAAATGTGTTGATCTTGAACTATACAACGACTATACATTAATGACAAAGAAAAAGAACGATGTAGAAGATGAGTACTATAATAATTGAAGGTACTAGCTATTATTAACTCAATCAATGAACAATCATCATAGTTCAATTTTGACCAAGTACTATTTATGGTGACATCAGATTGGCAAAATAACTGATGAATGTGAGTCTATCGATTATCCTTGACCGTATAGAAAACATAAGGTTTTTGTTTTTCTTTATGATGAATAAGTAAAGGTAATAGCTATAGATACGTACGTAATCACGTATGATTGTCAGTTTCCAAGGCTAAAATATATGTATATATATATATATATATGTATAACAGTAAAAAGACTGATTCTCCATAGATGTAGAAACAAAAAAAGGGACTTTCAAAATAATATAAATATAACTATTCGTTGTATAAGAAAATATATTCAACTTTATTCAAAAAAAAACCAGTAAGTAAAATGTCAAGAACAAGAAGAAAAAAGAGCTTATTTGATCTTTTCAATTTTTTTTTTGTATCGATTAAAAGGATAAGAAATGTTTATTATTAGGTGTACCATCTACTCTTCTTTGTCGGCCTCCAATGACCGAGAGTTATTTAACTACAGATATTATTGTTATTATTGTTCTAGTCGTCGTATTAAGTATGTTGTAATTTATTTCAAAAAAAAAAAAAAACAAAATAAATAAATAATTATTCGAAAATTTTTCTAGTTTTAATTGGTGCATGTGCGTTTTTTACACATTTTTATTGGACAAAAATTGGTGTTGCTGAAATATGGAATACAGCAAAATGGAGTTCAATGCGTAGTTCATTTTATAAATCAATGCGTCGTTTTAGTCGAGCAAGTAGTAATAAATTTGATTCTGAAAGACCATTTTCTGCCCAATCCGTTTATTCGGAAGATCCAGATGGTAGTGCATTACCAGCTCCATTACGAAATAAAAAATCAAATCCTGTTACTCCTTCGAATATTCAATCATCTTCAACATTACAAACTCAGCCAAAATCTAATACTACACGTCGAAAATCAAGTAATCAAGTAGAACCGGTTCCTATCGTATCATATCATAAATCTGAAAAAACAAATAATGCAACTAAAACAGGACAACCCTCCGAAAATGCCAAAATTCATAATGCTCACGAAAACGATGATAGATACCATGATGGATCTATTATTATTGAAACAAATCGTTTTTAAAAAATAATATACGAGTCTTCACCTTATGATAAGAAATTTTTCCTTTTTTTTTTTAAAAAAAACTTCAATCATCTGCTTTTTTTCTCTCAAAATTTTGGTGATATTTGGCTTCACCCTGGTGATAAAATTTTTTTTGTTCTTTATTTTTCGGCTTTTCACTTAAATGATGACTTGTTTTTTCTCTCTCTCTCTCTCTCTCTCTCTCTCCCTTTTTGTTTTTCTCTATTTTTATGACGTATTACTTTTGTTATTTATGATGACGATGATGATGATGATGATTGCTCGACTATTTTTATGTCTAATTGTTTTCTTTACTGTGAATAATACCTGCGCAATTGCGCTAGTATCTTTCGGTGATATTTGTTGTAGCTTTTAAATGCATTTGTAAAATATATATGTATACGAAAGCTCCAAATAAAAAGCAAATTTTAGCTACTTTTTTTTTTTAATTTTTAAATTTATTTCTTTTCCTTTGACAAACCGAACGAAACTTTATATACAAAATAAAAATAAAATCACAGTTATACATGAGAAGGATGACTAGATAAACTGGATGATTGGTGTTCACTTTCCATACGTTCACTTATATCCATTGAAGTATTTTCACATCCGAGACTTTGTTTATAATTACGATCATTGATGTTTACAGGTACTGTTATGCTATTTTGATTTAAACTAAGACCATTACCAGGTGTCCAACCAATTTTTTCTAATAGTTGATGATCAATATTTGTTGAATCGATTGGTGCAATAATATCATCTGTTGTACACAATTAAAATAATAAATAATAGAAAAATAATAAAAATAACTTACGATGTTTATGAGGATAGTGTTCACTTTTAACACGTTTATGATTATAACTATTATGATGAGAACGGCGAGTTTCTTTTAATAAACGAACATGTCGTTTTAGATGTGGATGTGGATAAGTATTCTAAAATAAAATTATTATCTAGATAATATATATGTATATATATATCAATATTATGATAGACATTTTAACTTAAGGTTTACAGTTATAATTTGAGGTCAATTTATAGCCTTGATTTAAATGGATTGGTTAAATGTTATCAAAGAGACATTTATATTTTGAACTGTGAATATGAAAATAGTACTAGAGTAATTAATATGAGGAAGAAAGTATGAAAAATCATGCTCATTAAATATTCAAATGAGTGATTGAGTTTTTTCTTATGCTTCATTATGTTAATTTAAATAATAAAATGTTGTTGTTTTTTCTTCTTGTAATCAAAAATAAAAAACAAAACTACGCAAGTACAAGTATGATTTTTGTTATACTCATGCACATACTCGTGATGCGAGCGGTCGATATCGGTACTCGATGAAATCTATTATTTGCTCAGCTATGCAATAAAATTTATTTGAATAAGAATAATGCATCAATAATATAAAATTAGAATAAATTTTTGTTTTCATACTTTTTTGTGTACACATAATTATATAGAGCTCAATAAACTGAATGACAATATATGTATATATTTGAATTATAAGTTTTAGATAGTCCTGAATAGTTCAGTTTCTGTGAAATAACATTTTATATGCTAAAATAATTGATACATTTTTTTCGATTTAGAAAAAAAAATAAATCTACAATCCACGAAGATTGTAAAATCGGATGTATTCAAATTAGTTGTGAAAGATTAAGTCTAGAAGATTTATTCCAAAATTACTCATATAGATTCACTTTTTCCTTGTAAAGCTAAATATTTTGGTTTTACATTTTCAATAAATTCAAAAATGTTAAATAACATTGATTTTAATAATAGTGTTTTACGAAAATATAAACCATTCAAAACTATATAAACTAAGCAAGAATTTTTTTCTATCAAAATCTAACGAAAAGAATTAAAACATTTTTATATATTCTTACTCATTTCGTCAAAGCTTATCTAACCATATATAAACAAACATAATGAAAAATTTTGTTTTAACTTTATATTATAGACATTTTATCAAAACTGAAATAAATATTACAGATCTTTACAAAAATCTTAATAAATCAAAAAGAAAACTTTTTTTTAATGTCGTATAGTCATAATAGTATCCGTTTTATCACATAAACAATCCTGTTAATGAACATATTCGATTTGATTCGATCAAGTTTTAATGAAATGCTGGAAAAGCCAATTCAAGGCGATCGATAAACACATCAAAGGTTTAGAAAAATTATTCTACGAATGCTTACAAAAATAAGATTTTAATATTTTCTACATTTTCTGACAATCTCTAATAAACATCAAAACTAATATGAATCTATATTATAAAAAAGCAAAAAATTCATTACTCTAAAGCAACATCAATCAAGAATTAAAAGAAAAAAAAACCAATGTTTCAGATAAATTTTATGTTGATAATAGATCAAATTATCTTAAAAATTTCAAAAAAAAGAACATCCTATTTAAATCATATCTTACTTTTGAACTAATATTTCTTCGATTTCCTGTCAACATTTCTCTATTTACAATTGTATTAATTCGATTTTGTATTGTAGTTTTTGAATTAGTTAACATAATATTAAATGCACTATTGACAATTTTTTGTAAGGTTCCTTCATTTGCTGTTAACATTTTCTCAGCATCATCATCATCATCATCATCATCGTCATCGTCATCATTATTATCTTCCTTCCATGGTATAATACGTGGTATACTACTTTCTTCTTTTGGCCAATCTGATTGTTCATCATCAGCTTCATTACTTGTTAAACATGGATCTTTATCACTATCACTTAAATTTAAACTACTACTACTACTAATATTTGTTCTAAAAAAAAGAAAAAAGAAAAAAAAGTCAATTTAGAAAATAAAAGTTTTGCTTCTTTTTTTTTGTTTGTGTTTTATTTAAACTTACAAATTTGAATCATCAACACATGCCATATCATAATCATGTACACTAGTATTTCGTAAACGGAAATCATCATGAATAATAGCACGTGATCGTTTACGTTTACCACTATAACTTATATTGCTAATAGCTAATGACAATGATGATGATGATGAAGGTGTAGATGGATTATCATCAATATCAATTTTTCGACAATTGCCTACATTTCGACAATTATGTCTCCGACTCTGTAAATGTGTATTTGTTGTACAATTAGATACTTTCGCACTTAGACAACGTGTTAATTTAATAGGTTGTTCAGTTTTTGATGTTGATGGAATGATTGGTTTTTTAAATGGACGACGTCGTCGTCTTATTTCATCTGGTTGTGAAGCCGAATCAGATTCAGATGCAAAAACTAATGATGATTGAGTTTCTAATAAATAAATAAATAAAAAAACTCTCAGCATAATCCCAACTAAATTAAAATATGAAACACGATGTAGCTGCTGTTGATAATCACAAAGAAATTGTTTTATTCTATCTATCTTTAGACACCAATAGACGGCCTGTGATTCTATTTCAATGTCTGTCACGGTCTATGAGGTTTCAAATTTTGTCCTTTATATTTCAACACTCCTTTTACATCGTGTTTCATAAAATTTTTTAATTAATTTTGTTTTGCTTTTAATATTACTTGATGTCATAGGTACATCATCACCATCACTGGCAATCGATTGTTTATTAGTACTTCGTGTATTTTCCGGTGTTGTACTATCTGATGCTTCAGCTATTTGTTGTTGTATTTCATTATTGATAGGACGTTTTCGTCGTCGTTTTGTTTTTAATGTTGTAGTAAATGATGATGAAGATGTCATAGGAAAATTAGATAATGGTGATGTTAGAATATTAGCATCATTTAATGCACTATTAAGATCAGCAGCTAATTGATCCATAATTTTTTTTTGAATACAACGAATTTTATCTTTGATTAAAAAAACATGAGAACTTTCTTCCATTCGAATCTTAAATTTATAAAGTAGTTTGTTGAGAAATATTTATCCAAATTTGTAAAAAGAAATTGATCATCTAAAAATAAATTTTGGAAAAGAAAAATAAAAGAAATTCATTCAAGAAATAAGAATATTATGAATTGTTTGTTTTCATTAATAATTTACAATTAAAAAATTTGTTGTTTTTTTATTTGGTTGATAGAATATTAGAATATAATAGCAAATCTCATGTTCAGTATTAATGACAATTGATCAAGAAATCTTAAACGATTAGTAAGTCTTTGATATAGCACTTGTCGAATTCGACCCGATGATCTTTACTTTAATAGAATCAAATTCATATAAAATTTTACTTTAATCCTTTTTTAAAATAAACTTCTATCAGCTATTGTTGTTTGCTCATATTTATCAAATGCTTTATAATTGATACCTAAATTCTAGGAAATAGGTTTTTATAAAGAATGAGATTAATACAGAGAACTTTATTTACAAAAATTTAATATTAACTTCTAAAAGTTAATAACATTGATATATAAAACGCATCAATTGTTTTTTTGTACCTTAATGAAGGATTGTTGATACAATTTTCTTTAGATATATTGTGTAACCTTCGCTTAGGACTTAATCTATTATCTCACCGAAAATGATGTTAGAGTTTTTTCTATTTAATCCTTGTTTAAATTTTAATTTGAAGAACTTTCTATTGAACTAATCGATAACTCAGAATGAATGGTCGATTTTTATATCTTTTCTTTTTATCATTGAATGCTTGTTTTTAAAAAAAAAACCTAAAACAAGCTACAACATTAGAAGGTGTATAAATTACAATAAAAATTATATTCTATGTATGTATTCTTTGCTTTCGAAATAGACGAAACTCTATACGATCAATTTTCGACACTGTGAATATGATTACCTTTTTTTTTATTTTGTCGGTTGATAATAATTCGATCATTGACGAAAAAAAAAATTTCTCATTAGAACATGCTCATGCTGCAAGTCGACAAGAAGCAGACTAACAAGGGAACATAAACTAAGAGTTTAAACAGTCAAAAAAAATGATGATATGGTTAGATGCATTTAAAAATATTCTTACATATTACATTATATTTAAAATATGATGACAAGTATATTGAAGTTAT